TTTAGGAGTGTTTCCAATTTCCTTTCTTCCATACTTGCCACCAGGATCAGTGGTGACCTTACAGATCTTCTCTACTCAACTAGCCCAAGCCATTCATAAAAATATTCTTATTCCTATTCCTCTCACAGATTAGGTCAGTTGAAGAATAAAATGTGCAGTGATGTCAAATAGAGACGTGTGACATTATACATAGCATGATACTTTCCTATTCCCTCCTGAGAATTACTAAGAATAAAGATGTATAAGGAGTTCGATGTGTAACTTACTGGTCCGCTGATCTCGGGAATGCCGACCTCCATTTTCCCAGGGCCTGCCAGCTCCTACTGCAACACTGATGCCGGCCACTGCAAACACACCTTTTTATGATGCGGTTTCATGAAATTAAAATAAGGCATAATCACCTGCCCCTGAAGTTTTGGTGGCATGGTTATGGCAATTTGACTCCAACATATAAAACAGCATAGTTTCAAGTGAACAGTGCCCTGTTGTGGTTTCTCCTTGACCCAATAGCGTGTTTATACTGTTTTGTATGACTATTACTGACCTGACTTTTCACTTGACCATTCTGTATTCTGGTATCCCTGACCAGGCTGTGTCATATCTTCGATCTGTTTTCTGGTTTCCCTTGACTCTGGCTACTCCTAACTATTCTGTCTGTCTGTCTTTCTGTCTAATGTGAAATCTGGCCACTGTAAGGTCCAGTAACATGTTTAATTACTGCGGTTAGACTTTGCGTACTGGAGTATTGTACTTATCCTTGTCAATATGTGCTTTGATTAAGGAGTTTTTTGGCCAGCTCCAAGAGTATTTCTATTCACCAAACAAGATCTTCAATCTCCCTATTATTTGGTGAAGGTCAGAAAAAGTGGGAGATTGCTCTTTATTATACTGTTGTATTACATCTCAATGACATGTTTATAGTTTCTATAACATCATTGATAGATTTCTACAAGAATTATTTGAAAATAACGTGAAAGCAAAGAAATGTCAGTTTCACAATCTCATCCATGTGGCTATAACATGCTTTGCCAGGGTTCTATCATGAACCCTTACTAAAGGCCATTCTAGAATGGAGGCAACCAAACTGTTCTCGAATAGTTGAATTTGTATTAAGTATTCTATAAGTAATATTGTTGATTTATTTGCAATTTCCACACTAATGACAGTTTTCACGAAAGCCCATGCTTTCCTCATGCTTGATATCCAATGCAATGATAGCAGTACCCATCAGTGCTTGCAGGCACTGTTAAAGAACCGTGGTAAGCACTATAACCACTACCACACAATACAGTGGTTATGGTGTACCCGGTGCACACACAAGTAGAAAAACATTTGCTAATTGTGTGCCAGGTGCTGATCCCTACCCTTTCCCTAGTTCTATGAGCTGGAAGCTCCTAATAGAAGCTTCGGTTACCTCTCCAGAGCTAAACTCTCTAATGCATGGTCAGCTCACTGGCTGAGAGTGACAACTCATCGCTAAACCATGCATGCAAATAGCTTCCAGCTCTCAATGAGAAAGGCCGCAGCACCACTGCAAATCAGGTAAGAACTTATACTGCTTGGTAAATGTGAATCTCACATAAAAAACTGAGGCTAGTGGTGTTGTGGAGAGAGGCACTGAGGCTAGTGGTGTTGTGGAGAGAGGCACTGAGACTAGTGGTGTTGTGGAGACCGGCTTGGAGACTATGGTGAGGCCTAATAGAAAGCAGTTGTTGTTGGTTGATTCCATTATAAGAGGTGTGGAGATGGACAATGGTGGTCTTGTGAGGTGTCTTCCCGGAGCTACTGCTCACAGAGACAGGAGACGTATCTGTAATATTGTTAAGCAAGCAAAGCAGGAAGGGGAATTGGATGTACTTGTCCATCTAGGGACAAATGACTTGGCTTGCAATGAGGTTTCAGAGGTTAAGGAAGTTTTTAGTGTTTTTGCCAATGATATACGGCAGGTTGCTTCCACACTGTTATTCTCTGAAGTTCTGCCTGTGCATAACACTCAGAACGACAGGCGGATGCGTATTAGGGACTTTAATTTGTGGCTTGGTGAATGGTGTCGGGAGCAAGGATTTGGCTTTATTTCTCATGGTAGCTCTGTTTGGAATGGAAATAAGCTGTACAAAAAAGATGGTTTGCATCTTTCTCAAAAGGGAACAAATGTTCTCAGTGAGCAGTTCAGAGGTTTTGCTAGGATGTATTTAAACTAGGAGGGGGAGGCAAAAGGGTGATAAAACATCAATCCAATTGTCCCCCAAAACAAGGACAGAAGGTGCCTGTAGCAAGTGTGTTAAAAATGATAAGCTTAGAGTCATGTCTACAAATGCTCACAGTTTAGGGAATAAGATCCATGAACTTGTGGCAATAATGGCAACTGATAGTGTAGATTTAGTCGCTGTTACTGAGACATGGTACAATGAGAAAAATGACTGGGACATAGCAATACCAGGGTACTCTTTATATAGGAAAGATAGGGAAGGCAAGAAAGGGGGAGGGGTGGCCTTGTATGTGAAGGATAGCATAAAATCTAGCCTAATAAAAGTTAGTGAGGTAAACATAGAGTCCGTTTGGGCTACGTTAGAATTTGGTAATCACACAGTAACTCATGTAGGTGTGATTTATAGGCCCCCAGGACGAATTGAAGAGTTAGATAATCTACTAGTTGAGGAAATAGCTAAAATGACAATGAAGGGGGAAGTTATCATCATGGGTGACTTTAATCTTCCTGATGTACCGTATATACTCGAGTATAAGCCGACCCGAATATAAGCCGAGGCCCCTAATTTTACCCCAAAAAACTGGGAAAACATATTGACTCGAGTATAAGACTAGGGTGGGAAATGCAGCAGCTACTGGTAAATTTCTAAATAAAATTAGATCCTAAAAAAATTATATTAATTGAATATTTATTTGCAGTGTGTGTATATGATGAATGCAGTGTGTGTATATGATGAATGCAGTGTGTGTGTATGAGTGCAGTGTGTGTATGAGTGCAGTGTGTGTGTGTGTGAATGCAGTGTGTGTATGAGTGCAGTGTGTGTGTATGAGTGCAGTGTGTGTATGAGTGTGCAGTGTGTGTATGAGTGTGCAGTGTGTGTGTATGAATGCAGTGTGTGTGTGTGTGTGATGCAGTGTGTGTGTGTGTGTGATGCAGTGTGTGTTTGTGTTGCAGAGCCTTGGGGGGGTGGGCATTTTTATAACTATGATCCCGCGGCTCTCGCGAGACTTACACTGGGAGCTGACCGAGGTGCTGACCGGACCGGCGCGGAGGAGGAGAGAGCTGACAGGAGCTGCAGGAGAGGTAAGTAACAGCTCTGCCAGCCCCAGTCTGTATTATGGCAATGTAAGTTTGCCATAATACGAACAGTACTCAAAGTATAAGCAGTTGGGGTTTCAACAAAAATGTGCGAAAACTTCGGCTTATACTAGTATACTCTGATAAATTGGAAAACAAAATTAGCTACTTGTGCCAGGAGCACACATATTCTAAACTCCCTACTGGGATTGTCTCTAAAACAAGTTGTTGAGGAGCCAACTCGTAAAGAGGCCATACTAGATTTAGTGTTAACAAATGGAGATTTGGTATCAGATGTTACTGTAGGTGAAAGTTTAGGATCCAGTGATCATCAGTCAGTGTGGTTTAATATAAGAACAGTGACTGAGTCACACCACACAAAAACAAAAGTTTTAGACTTTAGAAAAACAGACTTTTCTAAAATTAGAATATGGGTAGAGGAGTCATTATCAGACTGGAGCAATTTAAATGGAGTCCAAGAAAAATGGGATTATTTAAAAGTTGCACTATTGAAGGCAACAGAAAATTGCATTAGGCTTGTCAGTAAAAGCAAAAAATTCAAGAAACCATTGTGGTACTCCGCAGATGTGGCCAAAATAGTTAAAAACAAAAAGTTAGCATTTAGGAATTATAAAAAAACCAGAGTGAGGGGGACAAAATGATCTATAAGATTAGGCAGAAAGAGGCTAAGCAAGTTATAAGAGCTTCCAAATCACACACAGAAGAGAAAATAGCACAGTCAGTAAAAAAGGGGGATAAAACATTTTTTAGATACATAAATGAGAAAAGAAAAGTAAAACAAGGATTAGTTAGATTAAAACAAAAGAAGGAAGGTATGTAGAAGAGGATAAAGGTCAGGCTGACTGCCTCAATGAATATTTTTGTTCTGTATTTACAGAAGAAAATGAAGGAAAGGGACCTCAGTTGAGAAAAAGGATAAATGAGTCATTTATTACACGTGAGTTTACAGAGGAAGAGGTTCTATTTCAACTGTCAAAAGTAAAGACAAATAAGTCAATGGGACCTGATGGAATACACCCAAAGCTATTAAAAGAGCTTAGTGGTGTACTAGCAAAACCATTAACAGATTTATTTAACCAATCATTGTTAACAGGAGTAGTCCCAGAAGATTGGAAGTTAGCGAATGTTGTGCCCATTTACAAGAAAGGTAATAGGGAGGAGTCGGGCAACTATAGGCCAGTAAGCCTTACTTCAGTAGTGGGGAAAGTGATGGAAACCATGTTAAAGGATAGGATTGATGAACATCTAAAAACACATGGATTTCAAGATCAGAGACAACATGGGTTTACTTCAGGGAGATCATGCCAAACTAATCTTATTGATTTTTGATTGGGTAACTAAAATTATAGATCAGGGTGGTGCAGTAGACATTGCTTACCTAGATTTCAGTAAGGCTTTTGACACTGTTGCACATAGAAGGCTTATCAATAAACTGCAATCTTTAAGTTTGGATTCAAATATTGTTGAATGGGTAAGGCAGTGGCTGAGTAACAGGCAACAGAGGGTTGTAGTTAATGGAATATATTCGAAGCTTGGACTTGTCACCAGTGGGGTACCTCAGGGATCTGTACTTGGACCCAAAGTGCAAAAAAATATAGGTTGAATGACTGTTTGAGTAAAGAGTAAAAAAAAGCATTTATTACTTACATCAAAGTAAATAAAAGCAGGTAAATCAGTCCAACGCGTTTCTTCCCTGTTAGGGACTTCCTCAGGGACAATCTTTCACAAAGATGATGAATAAAAATACATATAAAACACTTTTATATGTATTTTTATTCATCATCTTTGTGAAAGATTGTCCCTGAGGAAGTCCCTAACAGGGAAGAAACGCGTTGGACTGGTTTACCTGCTTTTATTTACTTTGATGTAAGTAATAAATGCTTTTTTTACTCTTTACTCAAACCGTCATTCAACCTATATTTTTTTGCACTTTGTTTTTTATGTGAGATTCACAGAAACGCGTTGGACTGATTTACCTGCTTTTATTTACTTTGATGTAAGTAATAAATGCTTTTTTTACTCTTTACTCAAACAGTCATTCAACCTATATTTTTTTGCACTTTGTTTTTTATGTGAGATTCACATTTACCAAGCATCTGAAGCAAAGAAGACACAGCATATTTCTTAAAGCACTTCTTGGGATGTTAAAGTGTGCGTGAGCATTTGTCACTTACCCATATATCCAATCACAGTATATACAGTATTGCACTATGCCATATATTTTCTGTTTCCCTAGCTTGGAATAGCCCTATACCATATGCATGTTGAAGTGAAGATAGGAGGAAATCTTCGGGCATATCCTATATTGCTAAGGGAAGTTATTTCACTTTCTATCACAATCACTTGTTGAATTGTAATTCATACAGCACTGTATGTGGACACTACTTATGAGTGTGTGAGAAATTTTATATATTTTTTTAAGAACTTATACTGCTAGACCCCAGAGTCCTGAAAGAACAGTCCCCGGGAATGACTCGGCCAAAATAACTCCTAATTGCACCCACCTTTCCAGCTCCAATCTCATGGCTCACTACCTACAGTCAGGGCCGGCGCGTCCATAAGGCGGCACAGGCGGCCGCCTTAGGGCGCACCGGCCCGGGGGCGCAAATGTCCGGGTGACCGGCAGGAGGGAAGCGCACAGCTCCCTTCTCCTGCCGGTCACTTCTTGTAGCGTGGCCGAGCGCCAACCTGCAGTGCCGCGGACTGTGTGGAGGGGGCGGGGATATGAACGTCATATCCCTGCTCCCTCTGTAGCACACAGTGCGGCTGGCGCCCAGCAGGGGCGGAGCTAGTCTAGAAGACTAGAGCAGCAGAAGGCAGAGAGGAGGGGGGCTGGGCAGGACCAGCTCCTCCAACTCCCAACTACCTCAGGCAGCACTTTGGATCCCAGGTAAGCCACCCTCCTGAACCTGTTGGTCAGTGTGTCTGTGTGTGAATCCATGTCTGTCAGGTGTGTGTATCTGTCTGTCAGTGTGTGTGTATCCATGTCTGTCAGGTGTGTGTGTATCTGTCTGTCAGTGTGTGTGTGTGTATCTGTCTGTCAGTGTGTGTGTATCCATGTCTGTCAGTGTGTGTGTGTATCTATGTCTGTCAGTGTGTGTGTATCCATGTCTGTCAGTGTGTGTATGTCTGTCTGTTAGTGTGTCTTTGTGTATGTCTATCATTGTGTATGTCTATCATTGTGTATGTGTGTATCTGTATGTCTGTCAGTGTGTTTGTATATGTCTGTCAGTGTGTGTATCTATAAGGTAAGCCACCCTCCTGAACCTGTTGGTCAGTGTGTCTGTGTGTGTATCCATGTCTGTCAGTGTGTGTGTATCCATGTCTGTCAGTGTGTGTGTGTATCTGTCTGTCAGTGTGTGTGTATCCATGTCTGTCAGTGTGTGTGTGTATCCATGTCTGTCAGTGTGTGTGTGTATCTATGTCTGTCAGTGTGTGTGTATCCATTTCAGTGTGTGTGTATCTATGTCAGTGTGTGTGTATCCATGTCTGTCAGTGGGTGTGTATGTATGTCTCTGTCCGTGTGTCTGTGTGTATCTAAATGTCTGTCAGTGTGTGTGTGTCTTTGTGTGTTTGTGTATGTCTATCATTGTGTATGTGTGTATCTGTATGTCTGTCAGTGTGTCTGTATGTCAGTGTGTGTTTATCTGTATGTCTGTCAGTGTTTGTGTGTATCTGTGTGTCTGTCTATCTGAATGTGTATCAGTTTGTGTATATGTATATCTGCATGTGTGTCAGTGTGTGTATCTTTGTGTATGTGTATCACAGTGTGTGCGTGTGTGGCAGTGTATGTGTATATGTGCATATATCAGCATTCAAACACCAACACTACACACAAATAAACACCTGCATGCAAACATCAACACTACATACAAACACACCCCTGCAATCAAATGTCAACACTACATACAAACACACCTCTGTATCAGACACCAAAATTATATATAAACACACACCTGCGTTCAAAAAACAACACTACACATAAATGCATGCTTGCATTCAAATGCAAACACTACATACAAACACACCGCTACAATCATACAAACATACTCCATACAAACACATGCTTACAGTCAAAAGGGGTAAGACAAAGGGGTAAGACATTCAAGAGAGTGGATATGCAACACTAATGGGGGTAAGAAATTCAAAAGGGGGCTACGAGACACAGAGGTGAAGATGCATTGTTTATTTTTTTTTGGGGGGGGGGGCGTTAAAATGCATCTTCGTCTGTGTAGTCAAAAATCCTAGCACCGGCCCTGCCTACAGTGCCTTGCAAAAGTATTCACCCGCTTGACTTTTTACCTATTTTGTTACAATACAGCCTTAAGTTCAATGTTTTATTAATCTGAATTTTATGTGATGGATCAGAACACAATAGTCTGAGTTGGTGAAGTGAAAGTAGAAAAAAAAACATACATAAAACTATTTTTTTAGAAATAGAAAACAGAAAATTGGCATGTGCGTATGTATTCATCACCTTTGTTATGAAGCCCATAAAAAGCTCTGGCGCAACTAATTACCTTCAGAAGTCACATAATTAGTGAAATAATGTCCACCTGTGTGCAATCTAAGTGTCACATGATTTCCAAATGGAAAGAACATGGTACTACAGCAAACCTGCCAAGAAACGGCCGCCCACCAAAACTCACGGACCGGGCAAGGAGGGCTTTAATCAGAGAGGCATCACAGAGACCTAAGGTAACCCTGGAGGAGCTGCAGAGTTCCACAGCAGAGACTGGAGTATCTGTACATAGGATGACAATAAGCCGTACGGTCCATAGAGTTGGGCATTATGGCAGAGTGGCCAGAAGAAAGCCATTACTTTCAGCAGAAAACAAAATGGCACGTTTTGAGTTTGCAAAAAGGCATGTGGGAGACTCCCAAAATGTATGGAGGAAGGTGCTCTGGTCTGATGAGAGTAAAATTGAACTTTTTGGCCATCAAAGAAAACACTGTCTTGCACAAACCCAACACATCACATAACCCAAAGAACACCATCCCCACAGTGAAACATGGTGGTGGCAGCATCATGCTGTGGTGATGTTTTTCAGCAGCCGGGACTGGGAAACTGGTCAGAGTTGAGGGAAAGAGGGATGGTGCTAAATACAGGGATATTCTTGAGCAAAACCTGTACCACTCTGTGCGTGATTTGAGGCTAGGACAGAGGTTCACCTTCCAGCAGGACAATGACCCATAACACACTGCTAAAGCAACACTTGAGTGGTTTAAGGGGAAACATGTAAATGTGTTGAAATGGCCTAGTCAAAGCCAGACCTCAATCCAATAGAAAATCTGTGGTCAGACTTAAAGATTGCTGTTCACAATCACAAACCATGCAACTTGAAGGAGCTGGAGCAGTTTTGCAAGGAGGAATGGGCAAAAATCCCAGTGGTTAGATGTGGCAAGCTTATAGAGACTTATCCAAAGCGACTTGGAGCTGTGATTGCTGCAAAAGGTGGCTCTACAAAGTATTGACTTTAGGGGGGTGAATAGTTATGCACATTGACTCTTTCTGTTATTTTGTCCTATTAGTTGTTTGCTTCACAATAAAAAAAAAAAAAATCTTAAAAGTTGTGGGCATGTTCTGTAAATTAAATGATGCAAATCCTCAAACAATCCATGTTAATTCCAGGTTGTGAGGCAACAAAACACAAAAAAATGGCAAGGGGGGTGAATACTTTTGCAAGGCATTGTATTTTCAAGCAGTTGAGCTGTGCAACTCCATTCACTTTGTAATCCCACTTTCTTGCCAGCTCTCTTAAAGGGACACTATAGTCACCTGAACAACTTCAGCTTAATGAGGTTGTTCAGGTGAGAACTATAGCTCCCTGCAGCCTTTCTCATTTAAAAACAGTTTTTTCTGAGAAAATACAGTGTTTACATTGAAAGCTATGAACACCTCCAGTTGCAGTCACTCAGAGTGAACCAGAGGGACTTCGGAGGTGATGGAGGCATAATATACCTCCATCCACTCAGATCTGCTGTCAGCAGAGCACAGGGCAGCACTGTGCACAGCATCCTGTGATTCAGTATCTCCTCCCTCTGCATGCAGACACTGAACTTTCCTCATAGAGATTCATTGATTCAATTTATCTCTATGAGGAGATGCTGATTGGCCCTGGCTGTGTTTGAATCATGCTGGCTCTGCCCCTGATCTGCCTCTTTGTCAGTCTCAGCCAATCCTATGGGGAAGCACTGTGATTGGATCAGGCTACCACATGTCTGCAGACTGCTTGTTTTTCTGAGTCTAACAGCATGCAGATTTACAGCTTCAGGCTTGAATACAGTAAGATTTTTACTGTATTTATGGAGGCATGAGGGGTCCAGGGGGGCTAGATGGTGGTGTTAACACTATAGGGTCAGGAATTCATGTTTGTGTTCCTGACCCTATAGTGATCCTTTCAATATGTCTAGTGAATCTCGTTTCACATGCCGATATCCATAATGTCCCCACCAAAAAAAGAAAGAAATTAAACTGCTAGAAAATGGTTTGACTACTCATGGTGAGAGGGGGGAAAGAGGATGGGTGGGGGAGGCATGCTGCAGTGTTTTGGTGGGGGCATGCTGCAAGTTTTCCTTTCATTTTAAACAATTTGGGAGACCACCCGATTTTTTAAGTTTATTGTTGTCGGACTATCACCAGCAAGATCTATATGAGTATTCATTTATAGCAGCAGTTACCCAAAATATTAGCAGCTTGTCAAAAGTACAGTTTTGAAAGTGAATTCAAATTAAATTCAAATCCTGGTTTACTGGTTAGGCTAGCAGTCATGCTGCAGACTGATTCGTTTAAAATGTGTACTTTTAATAAAAACAATAG